CAAGGAGGACAGATTGACAAGTTCACATTAGGCAGAAGCTTTAACGATGATGAGAGGGAGATCAACGGAACGTGGCTCCAGTGGGAGTAATAATCAGAGTAGATCAAAATCCAGGAGTAAGAAAAATGTTTATTGTGGTAAGAAATGACACTTAAAAAGGGATTGTTGGAATCTCAAGAAGAATGAAGAAGCCAAAGGAAAAGGTCCTGAAACATCAAAAGCTCAGGGTTGTGTAGCAAGCACCTCAAATTATGGTGAAATTTTATACAGCGAGGCAACAACAGTTGTAGAAGGCAGAAAGAAATTTTCTGATGTCTGGCTTATGGATTCAGGAGCTACATGGCACATGACACCAATATGGGAATGGTTTCATCAATATGAGACTATCCCAGGAGGATCTGTGTTTATGGGAAATAATCATGCCTTGAAGATCGCTGGTATTGGTACCATCAAATTGAAAATGTATGATGGTATAATTCGCACTATCCAAGAGGTACGGCACATAAAAGGCCTAAAGAAAAATTTATTGTCTCTAGGACAATTGGACAGCATTGGATGCAAGACCCATATACAAGATGGGATCATGAAAATAGTTAAAGACGCGCTTGTGGTGATGAAAGCGGAAAAGATAGCTGCAAATTTGTACATGCTTAAAAGAAAGACACTACAAGAAAGAGAAGCATCTGTCGCATCGACAGGTTCAGCAAAAGAATTAACGATGATGTGGCATCGCAAGCTTGCTCACATATCGGAACGTGGTTTGAAAATTCTCTCAGAACAAAAGCTTCTTCCAGGGCTCAAAAAGGTTTCATTACCCTTTTGTGAGCATTGTGTTACTATTAAGCAGCACAGATTGAAGTTCAGCAGTTCCACTGCTAAAAGTAAAGCTATCTTGGAGCTGGTTTATTCCGATGTTTGGCAAGCACCGGTTATATATCCCTAGGAGGTGCAAGATACTTTGTATCTTTTATTGATGATTGCTCCGGGAGATGTTGGGTGTATCCAATCAAAAGGAAGGCAGACATGTTCGTAGTCTTCAAAATATTCAAAGCGCGTGTGGAGCTTCAATCTGAAAAGAAGATCAAGTGTCCGAGGACTGACAATGGAGGAGAATATACTGGTGATGGATTTGATAACTTCTGTCAACAACAAGAAGGTATCAAGAGACAGTTCACTATGGCATACACTCCACAGCAAAATGGAGTGGTAGAGCGGATGAACAGAACATTGTTAGAAAGAACAAAGGCAATGTTGAGGACTGTGGGATTAGCCAAGTCATTTTTGACAGAAGCAGTCAAAACCGCCTGTTATGTGATCAATCAGTCGCCATCAACCGCAATTGATCTGAAGATGCCTATGGAAATGTTGACTAGTAAACCAACTGATTATTCTCACTTACATGTGTTTGGAAGTCCTGTGTACGTTATGTACAACACCCAAGAAACATCAAAGCAGGATCCAAAATCCAGAAAATGTATTTTCTTAGAGTATGCTGATGGAGTGAAGGGGTACCACCTGCGGGATCCCACTGCCAACAAGGTGATAATCAGCAGAGATGTCATATTTGCGGAAGGCAAAATACAGGAAAAAGAAAATAATAACACTTCAAAAGAAAAACTAGAGACTACTACAGTCGAAGTTGGAGACGAACGAGAAGTTATAGATACTTCTGAAGCAACACTAGAGCACAAAAAACAAGTTGAATCTAGTGCTCCAGATGTTCGACGATCAACTCGGGAGAGAAAAGAACCGGCTTGGCACTCAGATTACATAATAGAGGACAATATTGTATACTGCTTACAGAAGATGGAGAGCCATCAACTTTCCATGAGGCTATAAATAGCCAAGAAGTTTCTCTGTGGATGGCAGCAATGCAAGAAGAAATTAAAGCTCTTCATTAGAACAAGACATGAGATCTTGTTTCGCTACCACGAGGAAGGAAGGCCATTGGAAATAAATTGGTCTATAAGATCAAACGAGATGGCAATGACCAAGTGGAGCGGTATCGTGCGAGACTGGTGGTGAAGGGATATGCTCAGAAAGAAGGCATTGACTTCAACGAAATATTTTCTCTCATGGTTCAACTCACAACAGTTCGAGTAGTCCTGGCAATGTGTGCTACATTTGACTTACACCTGGAGCAGTTAGATGTGAAAACTGCATTTCTTAATGGAGAATTTGAAGAAGAAATTTATATGCTCCATCCAAAAGGTTTTGAAGAAAAAGGAAAAGATAACTTAGTTTGCAGGTTGAACAAATCTCTATACGGTCTCAAACAGGCACCGAGATGTTGGTATAAGAGATTTGATTCCTTCATCATGAGCCTTAGATACAACAGACTCTATTCAGATCCGTGTGCATACTACATGAAATTTGGTGATAATGATTTCATTATCTTGCTGTTGTATGTTGACGACATGTTAGTAGCAGGCCCCAACAAAGATCGTATTGAAAATTTGAAGGCTCAATTGGTTAGGAAGTTTGATATGAAGGACTTGGGACCGGCAAACAAGATTCTAGGGATGCAAATTTATCGAAACAGAAATAATAGGAAGATTTGGCTTAGTCAAAAAAACTATTTGAAGAAAATCTTGCGTCGCTTCAATATGCAAGATTGTAAGCCAATTTCTACCCCCTCTTCTTATTAATTTCAAGTTACCCTCAAGTATGAACCCTAGCAGCGAAGCAGAGAGGATGGAGATGTCTCAAGTGCTGTATGCATCAGTAGTGGGTAGTTTGATGTTTGCTATGATCTGTACAAAACCAGACATTGCACAAGCAGTGGGAGCGACCAGTTGATACATGGAAAATCCTAGTAATGAGCATTGGAATACTGTAAAAAGGATCCTGAGATATGTCAAGGGTACCTAAAATGTTACATTATGTTATGGAGGATCAAATTTTATTGTCAGAGGCTATGTTGATTCAGATTATGCAGGTGATCTTGATAAAGGCAAGTCCACCCCAGGATATGTGTGTACTCCTGCTGGAGGAGCTGTGAGCTAGGTTTTGAAACTACAGTCTATCGTGGCTACTTCCACGACGGAGGCAGAATACGTGGCAGCTACACAAGCTAGCAAAGAGGCAATTTGGTTGCAAATGTTAATGGACGAGCTCAGACACAAACAAGAGAAAATTGCTCTATTTTGTGATAGTCAGAGCGCTTTGCATTTGGCAAAGAATCCAGCATTTCATTAGAGGACAAAGCATATTCGAGTTCAATATCACTTTGTTCGAGAAAAGGTGGAGGAAGGAAGTGTGGATATACAAAAAATCCATACAGCGGACAACTTAGCTAATATGTTGATAAAGCCAATCAGAACTGACAAGTTTATATGGTGTCGATCTTCCGTTGGCCTTGCAGAAACATAAGTAGCATGGAAATGGAAAATATGGGAAGGATGAAGTGGTCAACAAAAGTAACTTTAAGTGGGAGAAATGTTGAAAATAAAGTCACATTTTTTTACCATAAAGACATTACTTAACAAGTAAGAAAATACATGCATGCAAAAGGTGATGGTGGCAAATTTGGATTTCGCTTTCTTGCATGTAATAGCCAAATGTGCAGCAAATAATCAGCCAAGTTGCAGCCTGCCTCAATTCTTGACCATGATGCTTTCTTAATTGGCAAGCAAGTACATGCATGCATACAAGAAAGGTGGTGAAATTTTCAAGAAATATCCAGCAACTAAGGCAGCGGTGGAATTTGACAGCTTTGTCCAACCATTTGACAACCAATATTCTTGATTTCTTCAAACAATGAGGCGGCAAAATTCTCTATAAATAGAGGGAAGAGCTGAAGGAAAAAAGAGCCGTATGTGTTAAGAGAGGAAAATTTGTTAGAAAGCAAATTGAGTAGAGAGAAAATTAAGAGAGTATTTCCTACTTGTTTTCTCCTAATTACAAGAGAGATTAATTGTTGTTATCTCCTTGTATTCAGAGAGTGTGTTGTAATTCTCTTACTATAGAGAAAATCCTCCTATACTTGCCCGTGGACGTAACCTAAATCGAGTGAACTACGTAAATACTTGTGTCCATTTTAGCTGCGTTTTCTCAATTCCATTATTTGTTAGCCAAACTCGACCCAAGCGTCTTTCTCCCCAACAGTGGTATCAGAGCAAGGTTCTGTGTAGGGTCGTTGTTCATTGGTGAAAAATGGCGACAAAATATGAGATTGAAAAGTTCAATGGGAACAATTTCTCATTATGGAAAATGAGAATAAAAGCAGTTTTGCGAAAAGATATTTGGCGGCAATTGGACAAAGGCATGTGAAGATCATTGACGATATTAAGTGGAACGAGATGGATAGCAACGCAATTGCTAATCTGCACCTTGCACTAGCCGATGGAGTATTGTCAAGTGTGGCGGAGAAAAAGACGGCCAAAGAGATATGGGATACGCTGACAAAGTTGTACGAGGCCAAATCGTTATACAACAAAATCTTCTTAGAGAGAAAGCTTTACACCCTTAGGATGATGGAGTCAACTACAGTGACAGACCACATCAACACCCTCAATACTCTATTTTCACAACTCCCATCAATGGAGCATAATATAGAGGCGAGTGAACGTGCTGAAATCTTACTTCAAAGTCTACCAGATTCATATGATCAACTCATCATTAACTTGACCAACAGTTCACAATATATCCTACATAGTTTGTCATATTTCCAATGTTAAAGCTTGAGCTCAGATGTAAAAATAATCTTAAGTTGTGCGTTGACAATATCTTGAGAAAAGAATCTTGTTCGAAATGTACTTCAATCAGAATTCATATAATTAGTACCCCAAATTGAAAAAGAACCCATAATTCAATTTAAGAAAAATGTAAGGAATTTGATGACTGGAACATCATATTGTGATACAGTAAGCATCCACAAATAACCTCTTTCACCACATTTCTCTCACAGTCAGTCTTATGCTTAATCAGTCAAGAATAACCAACTCAATTGTACCAAAACATTATATATATATAAAAACAACATTGATTAAAAGGCTTACGCAGTGGTCTCTTGGCCACCTCCTTGAGTCCCCGTGCTGACAAAGAACCCAGCGGCCTTCCCAGATAGCTTCTGCTCCTTCCACAACTGCCCAGTCGAATCAAAGAATGCTTTCATCTGTGCCGCCATGCACCCGTACCTCGTCGGGAACCCAAACAAGAACCCATCCGCCGACACCAAGTCTGCAGGAGACTTGATTACCGGAACCGAATCGTCCTTAGGCGGGGCCCGCATTTGGGCCAGGGCATCATCAGGCAGCGTCTCGGGCACCCGAAACAGCACCGCCTCGACGCCGTCCACAGCGTCGACGCCCATCTTCATCCTCCTGGCCAGGCCCTCCACGTGGCCGTACATTGAGTAAAAGACTATGAAGAGCTTCAGGTTCTTGTTCAGGTCGGGTGGGACAGTAACGTTGGAGATGGATTCGGGTGGGGATTCGGGTACGATTGTTGTGGGTTCGGGGAGTTTTTTTTTGCTAGGAACACAGCCCCCACCTTTCCCCATGAATTCAGTTTCAGACTGCTCTTCAAATTGAAATGCAGAATAAACCGTGTGGGTACGTCATTTTTATCGCATCATCCCACGTCCACGCATCTCCGATTGGCCCAAGTTTTTAAAATGAAACTCACAATTTTTATCGTTTACATAATTCATCAATTTTATCAAAATTCATTTAAAATCTAATTATTTGGTCGTGCAATAATTGTAAGAGTTGCTGACAATAGATCACTAGCGTTCATCTGGAAATACTGTTTGCAGTAAAAAACATTTTTTAAAAAAATAATTTATCAAGAAAATGAGTTCGAGAATAGTTATATTTCGAGAAGCTCAGAACCAAAAAGGCAAGGAAAAAAGGTACCAAATCGAAAATATGCCTTCATAATTAACACCAACTGTTTCTAGCTTACAACAATATTTACCCAATAATAATGTTCTAATTGGAGTTCAACTGAAAGAACAACTTAATCCTACAACAAAACCTAGTGAAAATAAGAAAAAACTCCAAGGTGCATCATTAAGAACATTAAATTAACATCAAATTTCAAGTCACTTTCAGGACTTCTGAGAACATCTGAGAGAATAATGACAACGTTGACTACTAGCCATCATAATCGCCCTCGGAGAACTTATTCTCCGGATAAAAGACAGCCACAACTTGATTTCCACCAAACTTCCTTCCATTCAGTCCTTGTCGTGCTTTTGTAGCGCTTTCAACATCCACATACTCCAAGAAAACCTAGAGGTAAACAGATATTTATCATCAAATGAGTAAATAGAGCAAGGAAATATTCAAGAAATCTGATGGTATTTCAAACTCTGTATCGGCTATTAGTCACTGAAAATTGAACTGCGGACCAGGAAATTTCAAATATAAAAAGCAGCATGAAAATTTTCAAATGAATCACTACAGGCCAGTAATTTCAGAGAGATCCAGTGTCTAAAAAAAATATAAAAATTCAAAAGCCAAAAGTGGAATTACTCTAGAGAATGAGTGTGCTTTTAAGGAAGCATGCTCTCTATGGTCTATACCAACCTTTCCAACACCTGGTGTTTGTTCGCCATTGGGATTTGGGCGTGGAATGACCACATTTGTCAAAGTACCTGCAGATAAGAAACAGTTAATATCATCAACAATATTCCCCGAGGAAATACATAAATTTAAACAGAAGGTTAACGAGTTCTGCTTAGCATTACATGGAACTAGAAAAGGCTGTAATACATAAAATAGCACATAAATGGGAAAGAATCCATACGTATGCAGGAATATTAATTAGTCAATCAAATCGAAAACCATAAACAAATAATGGAGGTTCAAAGGCAGCTTAATGTATTTACCGAATTTCCCACATTCTGCTCTCATGTCTTCTACTATGTCCTCATAATCCTCATCGTCCCTAAGCTCATCTGGGTTAACCACTTCTGTTAGGCACAAAACCTTTGTTGCTGGAGCAGCAGGTTGTTGTAACATGAATCTCTGCAAGAGAAACGGTATTGAGGTCTTGTTTGACAAACATTAATTTAATTCATGGTTTGCTAAAGGATGATTTTCAACCACGCGCACACACTAAAATATTCTACACATGTACCAAAAACATTTTCCTACTTTTTAACCACACATTCTCCTAAAAATCACTATTCAAAACTCATTTTTTAAACATTAATGGTTGTCAAAAAGCTCTAAGAAATGAACAACTAATCCCAGCTGAAGGCTCGACTCTGGTGCCAATTTGTTCCGAAAATTGAACTCTAAACATATAAAAAATAATGGCGATCTGCAAAGGTCTCGAATATAGAAGTATATAAAAAGAGGAAGGGAGATAGACAATACAAAGGATTGGAACTTGCTTCCATTCCGCACAATGACTTAGATTTTCCAACTCGCAGATTCACTCAAATCTGCAGTGACCTTCTTTCTGATGAAAATATCTTCTCAGAAGACGTGGGGAAGCTTAAGACGACAAAGTGAAAGAGGATTTCCAGATAGGAAATTTTAGAATCAGATGAGTAGAACTGTAGAAGTGAACCTTAAGACAGTGAAAAGTCAAAAATTGAATCCCTAACATCCACATTTACACAACTCTCTACATTTTTCTCTTTTACATGGGATAACTTTCTTTTGAAATGATATCAACCAACTTTATAAACTAAAAATTTAGCATATCTATGTTAAAATATTCAAAACCCAATAACTTAAACAAGAATTAACAATAACTCGTTCAGTCAATCAAAACCATTGAGAATATTAATTCATTTAATTGTTACCCTTTTTGAAATTATGAAAAAAAGTCTTAGAAAAATTTATATTTTCAACTGCTTTCTGGCATACCGAAGATTTAGCATATATTTTTAGCCATTCAATTTATCAAGAAATTAATAATGATCAAAACTAAATTAAAAAATAAAAACTGTCATAACTTTAATCAGAGTATCAAGGAGTTTTGCCTCAGTAAGGTGACTCATAGGCGTTGAAGCGTTGTAAGCCGCAAACCTCAACATAGACCAATTGAATAGCTCAAAAAGTTGAAAAAATACAAAAAAATTATAATAACCTTAAGACATCCAAAAATAAATAATATAATGTTTCAATAAAATCAAAGTCTATTTCACAACTACAAACAAGAAACAGACTCAAAGTAGTAAAAAGTAAAGTAGCACTCACATAAAAAGACCATGATGAATTTTGCTTGCTTTTAGAGATAAGAAAAAAAATACTATATTATGCATAACCATGGGTCTACAGCAAAAAAAAAACTTGTGGGCCACTTATTGCATTTAGTTATAATAGGCTAGGGAAACTCTGGCTTCTCTTGTTCTATCATCTTAGTTTCAGTCCTTTCTTCTCTAGTTTATAATAGAACAGTTCATAAACAACTCAAAAAATCCTTAAAACATTCTAGACTCTTAAAAAAGTAACACACAAAGTTGATGTACACTAAGAACATAAAGGCAAAGCCCAAGGTCACAACAACCAGTCCCTCAGTTGAGGTAAGCCTTGGGCGATTCTTAAAACATTTGCTGTATAAATATTTCATTCCTAAAAAATTAACACGCATGATAAAATATCATATGCAATTGAGGCCTAAAGAAGTTGAGCCGAGCTTGACCAAGCTAAGCTTGTGGTAATTATCGTAGCATGAATCTCCAGCCTAACTAATTCGAATAAATAACAGAATGAAACCAAACTGCTCTGTAATCATGAGTTGCCGGGTTCTTTAGAGCTCTAATAGTTACACTGTGCATCAAATCAAAGCTAATGAGATAAATCTCTAATTACAACATACTCTTCCCTAAAACAACATTGAAGTACATGATAAAAACAGAATGAAATAAAATAGATAGAAAAACATGAGACAAGAATGGGTTGTGCCTCTTCTAACAGACTTTTTGATCTAAAAGTTCCCTCTTTATCTTCTAGATGTCATGAGATAGAATTACCTAAATGTTTACAGTCTCTTGTTTCCTTAATCTTTTAGAAGTTGTGTGCCAACAATTTGACTTAATGCGGTGACTGGATAGATCATTTCTAAAGACTCGGGGTAAATGGACATTAAACAAACCTCAGACGGGCAACTGGAAACCAAGTAAGAATTTTTCTAAAATGAGTTAGATATGTCGAAGAGAGCTTTTTAGACCTTTATACACAAGGTTGTTTCTTGAAGAAGATGACCTAAAATCCTTTTGCTCAGAAGAAGACTATTTAAATCATCTAACCTGCAATGCTATTTGTTGCTGAGCATGCAATAACACACTCTCTTGCTCAGGTTTAGGTTGTGTTGTACCCTGGTTAGCTCGCCTAACTGTAAGAGTTTTATCACCCATCTTAATACCATTAAGAGCTGCACAAGCAATATCTGTAACTGATAAATCCTGATAAACACAAAACGCGTAGCCTTTTGAGTTTCCTGTTTCTCTATCTTTCACCAGATCAAAACCTCGCAAGGGACCAAAAGACTCTAGCAACTCCCTGATCTGTGCTTCAGTGAAATAATATGGTAAACCGCCCACAAATATACGGTCAGGGCCCTCAAGTCCGCCAGCAGAACCTGGTGATAACCCAACAGCCGCAAGGTTCAAATTTGGATTAGGTTGGCTAGGGCCAAGAGTAGCAGCCAGTGAGGGGTTGTAATCACTAGGTCTTCTGACTTTAACTGGTGCTCCCTGCACAAAAAAGGTAAAATACCTAATGGATTAACGTAGCCATAATGTAAATAAATGTTATCAACACAAGCAATAAAAGTAGGATATGAAACAACAAATACCAACATAAATCGTTGGTTTGACAGGGAGGGGGGTTAGCGCAGAAACAAGGATGTACAATGATAAGCAGAATTTCCTTTAAAAAAGAGAACAAAGGAGAAAATTAAATTTTGGAAAATGGTGCCGATGAAATAGAGTGCATCTTAAGAGAGCAACATGCCGAGATTAAGAAAAGTTCTGGAAGTCCTAATTTTAGTAAGAAGCAGAATAAATGAATTTAAAATTCAGTAAGCTCAGGGTACTCAAAACCCAAGAAATGTTAATATACCTCAAATATAATCCCATCTAACGCCATGGCATTACTAGCCTCTTCAACAGATCTCATCTCCACAAAAGCAAATTTCTTCTCATGGTTAATATAAACATTCACAACAGCGTCTCCTGAAATCAGATGGAAATAGTTTAAAGCCTTCGAATCGAGTCACTTGTGTCTTGAGAGAAGATACATAGGAGTTTTGACTAACCTGGACCGGCAGTGTTTCCTCCTATTGCAGACATAACATGACTAAAGAACGTTGCCACAGACTGCATGACCAGGAATAGAAGAGCCAGAGAAAAACAAGCATAAGTGAAGGAAACATAGAACAACACACCAGTAGAAACTGGTACAAAAAACAAAAAAGGGAGTGAAAGTAAGCTTGAATCCACACTGCAACAATTAAAAAGGCACACAATTTATTCAACTACACGCATCACAGTTCCCATTGCAAGGTATGTGACTTGAATCCCATATCGAAAGTATGAACTTTTGGTGAATGGCTTATATAAACTTAGGCTCACCAACTTCAACAACTAGCTTTTGAGGTATGACTTTTCCAAGGTCTATATCAATGGTATCAAAGTAGGCACCATGTCTCCTGGTTGCAATCAAACAGCGCAAATGGTGATGCTAACATAGCAGTGTTTGTCCAGGACTAGTCATGGGCTAGTCCAAAGTCAATCCAACGTGGGCGCCAAGATCGCGGAGCGTGGTAGATGGTCTTGGTTCCAGTTGCAAGGTATGGGACTTAATCATACATCGAAAGTATGGGTTTTTGATGTGTGATTTATATAAACTTGGGCTCTCCAACTTCAACAGCTAGCTTTTAAGGCATGACTGTCCCAGGATCTCTATCAACGTGTCAGTAAATTCGCTTAAATATTTACAAGCAAAAAAAAAAATGTTCTATTTCACCAAATGAGCTTTGTCTTCAAAATAATGAACATGTAAAAGCAATAAAAATTGCCGGCCAAATATTCAACATTAGATATCATTGAATAATATATCACACCATTTAAACCTTGCATAAATTCATTAGATATCATTGAATAATAAATCACACCATTTAAACCTTGCATAAATTCCAATCAATGCGAGAAAAATGACAAAGCTACCAAGATGGAGTAATACCTGTTCATTGGCAGTGGGAGAGAGTCCACCAACATAGACTCGTCGAGCATGTCTAGTAGCCTGAAAGTACAACAATCAAATAAGATATTAACTAAATAGTGGATAAATTATATTTTTGAGACAAAACAAACAATCAAAACGATCCGATAAAATAAAAAAGTTGTTTAACACCACTGGTATTTTAACACCGGTCTAAGTGGCAAGTGGGGATTAAAATTAGACTTTTTAGTAAATTGTGATAGATGTTTTTGAAGTGTATAATTGAAAAGTTGTGAGATCCATGAAAGATGTGATTAATATTAAGCCCCCATTTTGTGAAAATGAAAATGCATGGAATAGTATTTTTTTTTTTTTAAATGAGCGGTTAAAAAAGAAGGAAAACTTTTCGATTTACGTGTAATATTATTTTATGGAAGATTGTGTGGTAGAAAATTGAAGAGAAAAAAATAAAATGTAATGAAATGGAATTTAATGGGGGCTAATTGTTTGACTTTGACTTTGATTTAAATCAGATCTTAATCCATACCAAACATGCTCTAAGTCACAAGTTCAATTGAATACAAGTAATTATGGCCCATTTAATATGACATATGATGTGCTGACATCAAGACTGGTGTTCAACACCACTGGTGTTAGATTGCATCATTACAAAGATAAATCAACCTGTTGAGTCATCGCCTGAACTGGCATAACAGGGAGAGCTCCAAACTGCCATGAAACCAAGGTTAATTTCCAAAGGGAAGACAATAAAGCCAGCACAAAAGTAACAGAGAGCAAGAGCAGAGAACCTGTCCTGATGCCATAGGAAACGTGTTTGGAAACATTCCAGGAATGGTCGGTGTGGTCCCAGGCATCTGACCTGCCATGACAAAGTCAAGTTACATCCACAAAATAAAGGTCGAGCACACATCTTAATCTTCATTAATCTACTGAGATTTAACATTTACAATAGTTATTTTACTGATTATTAATATTTTAGGCAAACCTATCATCTAGCATTGCAGTAAAGCCGAACCATAAAGATAAAATGGAAAAAAGTAGAATGTTCAATTACTAGAGAGAAATGTTTGTAAGAACTACCAATCGTGCAAATCCCGACAGAAGATGGAAAAGACCTGTATTGTTCTTCCTTGTACATAAAAGCTACAGAAGTCGGCTCAGGCCCATTGTCAGCACAGTGGGGCAACTAGCCCAATATTGCCTTCTTAGAACATAATACATGACCATACAAAACAAACAAACAAACACCAAACACAAGAAGAAACCAAAAACCCTCTCAGTTTCAGAATTATTTAACTAAGTAAATATAAAAGAAACATAAACAACAAATCTAGCGACCAGAACTCGTATTGTGCTATGTGCAAGTGAGAACCAGTATGCTTACCAAAATGAAACCATGAATTTTGATATGAACTTTCCACACTATGTCAAAGAAAAAGATAACAGTTATCAAAGATAGAATTGCAAAATAGCAGTTTTATACCTGAGGCAGCGGCGAGAGCAGCAGCTGCGTTAGGAATCATTGCAGCAGGAGGTGCCATATCAAAACCGCTTATCCTTTTGCTGCAAAGATTCAACAGTAACATCAAGAAGAAGCTGAAACATACAAAAGTTAATGAATTGGTAACATAAGTCATAAGCAGAAGAGGATGGCGAATTAATAGAAAAGTAATATAATAATTATAAGATTTAATTGTACATTAAACAATTGGCAGCTTGTACTTGCAAGTGATGACCGCGAAACCAGAAGAGCAACTGAAATGTTTATCTGGACATCTAGTAATAAAAGCTAATTATACCCAAGTCATTTCCTCTGAACCCTGGTATATGAAAGTAGTCTGACAAATGTTTTTTCTTACAATCCAACTTTTCGTTAGTCTTTCTTAATTCACCAGGATGGTGGTTTGCAAAACCAGTGTGGTAGAAGACTGATTCCAAAGAAAACATGGATGTAGAACAATAGAGATCACAAGCTAATTTAGCCCCTTAAAAATAAGATCTTTAGTAGATTTTGATAAAATTTGATGAAATGTGAAGTTGAAAAGTTGAAAAAAGTTGTAGGTTCCATAAATGTTTGGTTGAAAATGAGGTCGAGGAAAAATGAGTATTAAAAAATGGGACCAAACAGAGGCTTAATAAATGCCTCTTACCTTATATAAATAAAAATACAATCTAATAAAGCTATCGAGGATCCAAAGAAATGGCACCACAAGAAAAATCAATAATGAAGGACAATAAATCAGTTAGGTCTCAAGAAGATATTACCCCTAAAAGCTTAAACTAATGTCCATACAAATTTCGATTACCATTCCTTCCAGATTTAATCATATTTGATATTCATTTAGAGATGCCTACTCAAGAATATTTTTATTTTTTTATTTTTGAGAAACTCTCAGTATACAACCTAAAAATAATAAAGCAAAACTAAGCACTCGTAATCCTTCAACATTAAAGCCTCTAATCAAAGATCTATAGGCTTACAGCAAAATCTATACAACCTACCTTTTGGAGCGTGAACGAGATCGTGACTTAGATCTGTGCTCAGATCTAGCCCTTGAACGAGATCTGTGTTCATCATCTCTGTCTCTATCATAATCTCTCTTCCTGCAACCATATTATCATGGAATTAGATATACATCACCGATAGGCGAAAAACTCAAAATAAATTACAGGTTTTAGCAAGAAACGATATAGAGCATTAAGATGTAGCGGCAAAGAAGATATAGTGACTAGAACTCAAAAATGGCCCTGTATAATATTTTTCAGACTTGAAAGTGCCCAAATCAACATTTGACCAGCGATCCATTCCCTACTGAAATTCAATAGGGATTGAGTCCTATTAAATTTTTTTCAGACTTAAAAGTACCCAAATCAACATGCGACCAATAATTTATTCCCTACTGAATTTCATAGGGATAAAAAACATACTCCTGAAATATCAACAAAAGAATTATATGTCATAAGATAAAGACCCATGAACCAAAAAACATAAGGGCCCTGAATAAAATATATCAGAATATTCTAGTTTCCTCACCTGTCATGATCTCGCCTCCTATAATAATCATCATCATCCCTGTCTCTAGTCCTCTCCCTCTCCCTTCTTTCACTTCGGTCCCTGTGGCGGTCTCTGTGGTGACGATCCCGATCCCTGTCCCTGTCTCTATCTCTGCCTCCATCCTTGTCCCTGTCCCTATCTCTGTCCCTGCCCCCGTCCCTGTCCCTGTCCCGATCTTTATTGCGCCCTTTCTCCCTTTCCTTTTCCTTGCTTCGAGAAGACTCACGCTCTCTATCTTTCTCAAAGTCAAGACTAACATTCTGAAAATATATAATAATAGCAATAATTAGCAAGCACATGAACTAACAGAAAGTGGCATTAAGAACAGCAAGGTAATTGTTAATCTGCACGTGCTACCTTAGAAAACTGGAAAGTGAATTAGAAAAATATTGCAGCACCTCACTGTTAGTGGTTAATAGTACTAAATTCCAATATCAAAAATGAAATCATTCCAAGTTAATTTCATGATCGAAAAATGAAGCGACTAAACTCTTTCTTCAAATAATAGTACATATGGCAATTATATACAATCCTTCACACAGATTTCTCACCTACAAGTACATACACTTGATTCACCAGGCTCAATCATAGTTGTAGATGTTTGATTGCAATGATTATATTTATATCTACGGAATACAACCACGAATAGTGCAAATTACATTATACAAACCAGAAAACCAAAAATTACAAGTACTAAACAAGGAAAAAAAAACACATTTCCCTGAAAAACCATGATTGACCAAACCAGGACAATCATTTTAAATTTCAATAACTAAATTACTAAGTTGTTACAACCTCGATCCATTGTAATCATAATTTAACTTCTTCACACAATTTTTGTACTTCACAAGCAGAAATTCCAGTCCAAATAAAACCAATTGAAACGATTAATAAAGGTAAAACAAGACAAATATCACGATAAGCGACAGGATCTGACAATACAAATCCACTTAAAATCTGACCAAGCACTTTCAATAAGTATACACAATATATTATTTAGATCTATCAGCTTACAAACATAAATAAACACATATATACATTTAGATAACCGTATGCTAGAGCGAAACCTGAGACTTAGAGTCGCTGTAGTCATCGGCACCAACATTACTAGTGGTGCGCGGCTTAGGGGAAGAGACATAGTCGTCCAGATCTTCTCCGTTGGTCTCGTACCTTCCTTCGTAGTCCGTCATGCTTGTAAATTAGGGTTTCTCTTTCTTCTCCGTTGAAGTTAACTTTAATCGAATTTCTTGTGCCTTATGCGAATATTTGAGTTTTCTTTTTTCTTTTTTTTGCGTACGGCCCATAGTTTTATATATTCATCCGAATGAAAATATTAAAATTTTAAAAAATTACTATTATCATCCTCGACAATTTCTAATATTATCCTTATTAAATTCATTTATTTAAAAAATATTTGTTTGTTTTATAGAAATTTTGATAATTAATTTTTTGACCGTTAGAGATAAAGTGAGTTCTACCTGTGAGAGAAGAATTCCAAAAATGACTACTAAAATAGTAAAATAACGATTAAAAATTAATTTTAATTAACTTAAAATTTGTACCAAGCAAGCCCTATATATCCACACAATTTTTTTATATTCATCCCACTCTAAATACACCTCTAATATAATTTCAAAATTTTAAAATATCACTATAATCATCCACAATACATATAACATCAACTTCCTTATAATTCAATAATTAATTCTATATGCAAAACATGATATTGAAAATAAAATTAAAAGTCTTGCAGGTGTGTTATTTGCCATATGAATTGGCCCGCTATATTTTACTGTTGAATATTTAACTAATGATGTAGAACTCGAACTAGCAATCTCTTTCAATTTTTGTAGGATTTCTGCCTTCACATTATCAATATTCTCTTGATAACGTTTTATGAATCATCTCAAATAATGATGCACAATTAATCTCAAATTTGTTACCTTTGTCAAGAGGAACTAGATCGAGTCTATTCCAATGAGAGTGTACTCTTGATAAAGGGATAGATCGAGATTCTGATATTTTATCTTGTACTCTAAAACCTTAGGACACATGGTAATCAATGCGTTTGTCATATAACACATCCACAAGCTAACTTGGTAATCCCTATGTCACCAGCTCGCTCATACTCTTGAAATATCAAATTTATTGCAATTCTTGATGTAAATCCCCTTAACTCTTCAAACAAGATAGGTTTGAAATTATGTTCAACGGTGCCCAAGCTCCTTTCAAAGGAAGTTTTAATAAATGTATGTTGTAGCTCCAATAACGCGTTAGGCGTGAATTCTTGTCCATGCAATGTCAAAATTGCCTTGAGAAGACCCTAAATGCCTCTTAAGTTTGTATGAGCAGATTTAGTCCTACCACATGAATAAAATATTGGTATTGTAATAATATTATGAATTCATATAATTATAAATAAAATTCATGCATTTTTGTCTCACTAATTTAAATAATAATATAAGTAAATTTATCTGTTAGTTGTCGTGTTTTCAAGGTGCATATGTAGATTAGCCCAAGCTATCACAAATTTCTCTTTATATAGCCCCCGTTTGAGCCCTATTATTTGGAAATTATAATGTTTTGAATAGTGTTTTTTTGAAAAATGAGTGATTGAAAAGAAAAAAAAATTCGATTTACGTGTAATATTATTTTATTAAAGATTGTGTGGTTAAAAATAGGAGAGAGAAAAATTTAATTTAATTTAATGAGAAATAATGGGGGCCAAACGGGGGCGAAGAAGCAATGAATTCATGACATAATTGATAGCTTGTGGAAATTGTTGGAAATTAGATTCCAAGAGATTTAGGTTTTGCTTGTACTCTGCTACAAATGTTGATAGTACTAATAAATTCCACATATGCATGAAGGCATCCCATTGGTCTTTGTCTTCAATTATTTTTTTATTTTTTATTTTTTTTGGCCAACACATTCTTTGAAATATGTCATCTACATAAAATATTAGTTGATATTGAAAATATTTTTTTAGTGGCCTTCATGGGCCAGCTCTTTAACAGTTACAATTACACTAGGCATTATTATATCATCCTTTAGACTTTTAAATCTCTCCAAAGCCCATATGTAATTTTCCTCACGTTCTTTTTCCAAGTATGCAAAAGCAATTGAAAATGTCAAATCATTAGAAGTGACACCTACTACCTCTAACGATGGTGGGCAATACCTATTTGTCTTATATATGCAATCCATAATAATCACACGAGAAAAAACCCCGCAACAAATCTACTAAATATGGATGTTAACAAAACAAATCTCTAACTGTATTTGTCTCCACAGAGTTACGATGCCACTCTATGTACTTGTTCTTAACAAGCATATTCATTAGTTATTGCATTTGTGTCCTTCCAGCTCATTCTTTGAGCATAAACTTCTGATGTGCTGACATTAGTGTCATCATTTTGTTTCAATGTGTATAAGATTTCATTCGATCTCACATGATTCTTTGACATGTCTATGAAAATTGAAATCTCTTTCTCAATTAGTCTTCCGGCATATGAATATTTTTCAAGGTTCATTACAATATCATGATTATGCCTCCAATATTTCACTTTCAATATCCAATAATCATCATTTATTAAAATTTTTCCATTCAAAACAAATAAACATCCACACTTTTTTGTTCCTGTAGCTCTACGTCTCTTCCCCTTTTCATTTTTGTTGTTGGTATTCTTACCCCTATATCAACCATATCTTTTACATGCAAAATCAATTCTTAGTTTTCTCCCAACTTGACCTAAGTTGGATTTTTTCATCACAACAATCATGTTATGTCTTTTACTAATTGTTTTAACCCAATCAACCAAGGCCTCTTTGCTTGTAAACATCTGTATACCATCAAATATTTTTATATAAATATATGATAATATTAAAAATAAGAATATCATGACTTACCATATTTGTAGTAAAGACATATTTATCATCAATAAACAATTTGTTCTGCACATCAGAGTTGTGTGTTGATGTATCCAACATGAAAATCATAGTGTCAAAATTACAACGATAATTACAACCATGAATGTGCACAAACGAGCAGTAGGTACTGATGTATAAGAATTCATAATTCTTAATAATATTGTTTGACGAAGCATTCTGCAAATTCAAGTCCAGCACTCAGAGTTCATAATCAAATTTTTTGGGCCGGTAACTTTATGTCAATGCAAAGTCGAGTAAAGTCCATATACTCGATTACATAAGTAATAGATTTTCATATATTTAATACGATTTTGGCCAAATTTGCTCGACTTCAATTATCTACTCGCAATTCATTAAAAAATCAAATAGAGTAGATCAATGAAATTCAGTGTTAGTTAGTAAGCTAACAATTATTACTTCCCCTCCATAATATGATAAAAAAAAATGTCACAATATTTTATGCATGATGCTTTATCAACGTATAATGCTTGTGAAATATGGGGCGAACTAAGAATTTATTTTATTGCGGGCATAATTTAATTAAGAAAAAGAATTAAATGAGATAATATAGAATGTTCTGCTTAACAAAAACTTAAGTTACTTTTAAGTTTTATAATCTCTTGGTATGTTTAGATAACTTGTTTTTTCTAAACTTAAAATAATTTCTTTTTTATAAGTATCAATTATACTTATTTCAACTTTTATCAAGCAAAAAAATATTTTATTTGAAACTTAAACAAGATAACATTTTAAGTTGAGCCAAACATGCTCTTACAATTACGATGGTTTAGTTGGCTTAAACTCCACAAGTGGACCCTTCTTGACCAAAACTTATAAATCTATGCTAGAAACACTTCGATCTTCTGAATTCATCTTTCAGAGAGGGAAACACGCATTGAGGGAAATAAATGTAGATGGGTACATGTTAAAACAAATGAACAAAAACATTTTGATACAAAAATGAAAGAGAGAACAAAAAATAATAAACAATGATAGAAAGTAATCCTCACCTTTTCAAATTCTTCGTCATATATTGCTGTGTCAGTATGTATTTCCTCTGGTGGTGTCTCCTTCATTGTAGATTTGATTTCAGTTGAAGATTATATTTTATTATTAGTAGGGTTTTATGATTTTAGTTGAAAATGATATTTTATAATTATTAGGATTTTAGTTAAACACAAATTCTAAAAGAATATAAAAAGGTTCAACATAATTTAGTGAAAATAAATATGAGTAGATGAATTTAGAATGACATATTTTTATTCAATTTTATATATGTCTGTTTAAGTGAATTTACATAAGATTAAAAATATAATATAATTATCTTTTTTAAAAGTGGATGTATATATAAAAACTGTAGATTTACAATAGCGCCACCCTTTTTTTATCTCTGGTGAGTGGATTTTTTCTAAGGTTTTTCCACATCGCGAGAAAATTTAATCTGTGGTTATTCAACTTTACAATAAGTTACTATTTATTCATCGAAATTTAAAACGTTATTTGTCGCTCATTGAACCTTTCTATAAGTCACTATTTGTTTCGAAATTTAAAAGGTTATTTGTTACTCACTAAACTTTGATATAAGTCACTATTTGCTTACCGAAATTGAAAAGATTACTTGTTGCTCACTCAAATTTGAATAAAATTACTCTTCTATCACCCGTGTCATTTTCATCAATCCACATGGACAAAAATCAACATGACGGATGAAAAATCATACATGGCACCGATGGAGTTAATATAATAATAACGTGGCTAAAAAATGTAAGTGTCGCACGACGATAATTATTAATGTAATCGCATGGACAATTTCTATTACTAAATTCATAATTGTCCTCCCATTCTTCTTGTAAAAAAAATAAAAAAAACTTCAGAAACAGAAATTGCCCATTCGATTGTATGGACAACACCATGCGATCGCATGGACATTTTTGTCAAGCTACGTAAATTTTTTCACGCTATTATTTTTTTAACTTCGTCGGTGCCACGTGGGATTTTCTAATCCATCACGTTAATTTTTGTCCATGTGGACTAATGAAAATGATTTGGGTGATAAATGAGTAACTTTGTTCAAATTTGGGTGAACAACAAGTATCCTTTTAAATTTTAGTAAGCAATTAGTAACATATAGCAAAATTCAATGAGTAACGAGTAATTTTGAAAATTTCAATAAGCAAATAGTAATGTATAGCGAAGTTCCATGACCATTTATTAAATTAACGCCCACTTTGCCTATTATAGAATAATGTTATATAGCCCTTGTTTGAGCCACATTATTTTCTTAAGAATGTATTTTTGAATAGTGTATTGATGAAAAATGTGTTGTTAAAAAATAATGAAAAGTTTTAGATTTACGTGTAACATTATTTTATTAAATAATGTGTGGTTGAAATGATGTAAAATCACTACTTAAGAATATATATATTTTTAAAAATATTGGTCAAATAGAGCTATAATACCAGTGGTGGGACTTGAGCTCAGGGCTTTGATGCTTGGGATAGGGACATCTATCCTGATTACCTACGTATTCAAAAAGTTAAAAATTGTTTAGATACTTCAGCCCAATTTTTCTAAACAAAGCAATAAAAAAATTGAGATGATGACTATTCCTGTCCCACCTTAAATAGATTGGGATGTGGACTCGGAGAGAAAATTCGAAGCGAAACGAGGGCGTCCAGCTTTGCACCCTCCCTGTTTTCATCCCTTGTGATAATAAGTTCATGCTTGGCCTCATTTCTTAAAACTCATATTTTTCAAACTTATTTTCAACCACACATATCACGAGACTCACAATTTTATTAATTTTCTACTAAACATATTATCAACTTTTATCAAAATATATTACAATATTGATTTTATCAAAAACAAATAGAGCCCAATTTTACGTCATGTGAAATATGAAACTAGGCCAGGGAATGGGTGGCATTAAACACTAAGTGGTCGTTTGGCATTACTTTTAAGAAGTCAAGAGGAATTTTTATATCCAAAAGTTATTTTTGTATCCCTTTGGCTAATTTTATGATTTTTTAAAAATAATAATTAGAAAAGCTTTTAAATAAGGTTGATTCAATGTAGATTTATTTATAGGAGCTTTTAAATGAAGCTCTTTTAGAAATTAATTCCCAGACAAAAAATTAATATAACTTGCTCATGAAGCTTTTCTACATGAAGTAAAAGTAAAAACAAAAATCACATGAAATGTTGGCATAGGGAAAATATCTCAAGCAGTACAGATTTCGATGGTGTTTCTTGGTCCATTATATTTAAATTTATAATCTAGCTATCATGGTATTGGTGTAGCTATGATATTCATGAGGATCAATTTCAATGGCCATTCGACTCGACAAAAATTATAATGGAAAAGGCTAAGGAAGCATGAAATGTGAAGGTAAAATTTCATACAAGATGCAAGTATGAAACTCTTATTGGTCGAGATAGACCTCATGTACATTTCATGAAGGTTAATGTGGACGGGAGTGCAAGAGCTTAATTGGCCCAGGTAGCATGAGGTGTCTTGAGAGATGACATGGTTCATGGAATATTGGCTTTACTTATAGAGTTGGGCGCGTTATCATGATCTCCTACTTTGTTGGGAGCAGGATTGCATATCTGTTGAATTGGAGTCAGATTCTCTACTTACGATTCAAAAGATCAATAATCATACCATTTAGTTAAATCTTCATTTACAATTAATCGATGCTATTAAAGATCTTTAGTGGTGTAATTGTGTTTGCTACATAAAACAATAAGTAGGCAAATTATTGTGCAAATTGGATGGCCACTCATTTCGACGATTTAAGCTTAAGCTTACATATTTTAGTTCCCCGTCGGATGATTTATCTTCTTATTTGCTTGCTAATGCTCTTGGTATAGCTTGACTAATATTTCCATAATTTGAGAATTCTTTATTTTGTAGTATTAAAAAAAATCACACAAAGCAGGCCCTTATTGATCATCCTCATCTTTATTTATATCTTTTTTATATGTAAATTAAAATTCAATTCAAATATGATCTAAATAATATAAGTAGTAGAGTATTGAAATCTATAATTTATTAAATGCATTAATTGTAAAGTAGTAATAGTGAAAGAGTTAAGCTCTAAGAGCATCACAATAGAATATTTAAACACAAGATACACTTTACTTTAGGTAGTCGATATTTAATAATAAGTTTAAAAGGACTTTCTATTTCAGAGGGTCAAACCAACTATAGCTAATATACTCCAAAAAATATTTTAAAATATATTTGAATTGATTAATTGTTAACATACAAAAAATTATGTTAAATAAAAGATTATGAGAAATCAATTAAAATAAAGAATAACATATGAGTATATAAAAAAATAATAATAATAATTATTCTCTATTATGCATATGATGCTTTAGAACATCCCAATGAAAATGAGAATTACACCGAAAGTGTACGACATCATCTAAAATGCTTACATGACAAGAAAGGATGTGGTGGGTGTATATCACATCATCCAAGACACCCTCTAATTAGATTTTTTTCCCATAATTTTTTACACACTCTCTCTTGTATACATAATTATAATTAGTTTGATATGGATTCCCATTGGAGACACTCTCTTTTCTATTCCCATTTTTCCGTCGAAGGTACAATAATTCATATTTTTTTACGAATCATTTTAGAGTTCAAAAATGAAAGATCAACTCTAGAACACTTGAACCACGCAAAAAAAAGCTTGGGTAAATTAAATCAGTGCCCTCTTAAACTAAATAAATTGAATAGTAACCCTTTTAAAACTAATTAAACCATTTAATCCGTAATTAATAGGCCCTCAATGGAAAAATGCTCTCCTCTCCTCAAAATCAAGATTTTCATCTCCGTCCATTTCCATCGCTTTTGCCTGTCTAAGTTCGTCTTTGTCTTCTTATTCTCCTATTTGTAGATACCATAAACATCATCCACAAACAATTTCAAATCACAATAGTAAAAGTCCTAATTTGTTTGGATTCAAAATCTAAAACTCTTACTCCAATTTCGATATGTTCACTTCGATGCCAATGTCAACTCCGACTCCTATTGCTGCAATGGTTGAAGAAAGTGGGTTGAAGAGAAAAAGAAATGTTGATGAAGAATCATCTTCAAAGAAGAAGAAGAGCAGAAAATCTTCAACGTATTTTAAACCCAAGGTCTAATTTGGAATGGAGTTGAGTAGGATTTATGGTGGGCAATTGTCATTCTTGGTCCATTCACATTATTTTGCATTGTAGTTCGATATATTTGTTTATATTTGTTGTTGAATGTCATTATGTAATCTCCATTATTAAGATTGGTCACTGAGTTCCTCAGTGTGCTTGTGTATCTGATTTGTATGAAGGGATGCCTCTTGATGTGATAGTTGGGGACTTCTAACCTTGCTTCTTTGGTTTAAATAGAAGGGAAGAAATGCCCAACTTTTATTATGTATTATGAAGATTGGAGGCTGGTATTGACTATTTTCTTTGTACTAGTGAGGAAAACGTGTGTTGGACTGATGAATTTTAAATATAAGTGTATGACAACTGTTGAATGGACATACATGACAATTCTTAAAGAAGCAGTCAATTTCTTCCAAACTTGCCATAGAAATATTAGGAATGCAATTAAATAGGCAGAGATTTAACCTTGGAATTATATAAAAAGGGCCTCTCAAATATAAGTTTTCCATGGAGATTATATAAAAAGGAGCTCTCGAATATGAATTATCCATGGACAGATAGTGAATTGATGGATTCAGCTGGAAGTTCTACTAAAACATACTCTTAACGTGCAGAATAATTATAACACTCATCAGACGAATGTTATGGTCCAACGAAGGTGTGATAACTCGAAAGAAACAATGTGGTAGATCGATTCTGCTCGACATGATATTTCTACTACAACAATAACAAGTAAATGTATTTATTAAACTCTTAGAAGCAATTGGAAATTAAATTTTTTTACATACCAATCATTGTGTAAAAATGTAAAATCACATTTTAGGGTTCGTTTGATTGCAAAGATGGAATTGAATTGAATTGAAAACAAATTTCAGAAAATTGAATTGCATAAAAATTATTTTCTTGGAAA